AAAGAGTTTAGAAATAAAAATGAAAAATATTGGTATCAAGACCTTTGATATTTGAGTGAGAATTTGAAAAATGGATAAAAGAAGGTTCTTGATTTATAAACAACAATGTTTTGGGTGTCATGTATATAATCCCCTCAAAACATAAATTATGAAAGTTGTAATTATGGGTCATCAAATCATTAAAAGGTGTGAACCTTTAGATATCTCGGGTCTCTCATTCAAAGTTTAGATGATATAGATGAGGATGTGATTAGTAGATTTCAAGTTGGTTGGTTGAAGTGGAGGTATGCATTCAACATATCGTGTGATAGAAAATACTGCTTAGACTTAATAGAACATTTTATAAGATGGTGAGATCTGCAATGTTCTATGGTGCAAAATGTTGGCCTATAGATTAAGGGGTTGTTCGGTTGAAAACATGATTTAATTTGAATGAATTTTAATAAATACTGCAAAAATAAAATTATCATATCCTGAGTTACGTGTCAAATTTGAAATAAGATTTATTTCAAAAAATGTTAATCTCTTGTCAATTGATTCTAAGTTCGACTCGTACATGAAACTCGAGTTGAAATAAACATGTCGAGGCAGTCAATATTTTGGATCAGATTTATTTGGAATCTACATATCAAACTTATTTGGAACTACATCATCTCGACTCGAACTCAGATCGTTTAGCATCTTAGTAATGTTAGTTATATCGAATAAAATTAAATGGTTGAACATAATTGATTAAGGCGTCTCCCTCTAGTAGTGTATGTCACTGTTGCTATACTAGCCCTCTCATAGATATAATTATTTCATATTTTTGTCTCCAAGTGAAAAGCTAATCATAATGCTATCTGATTATCGATCTTCGACGGCTCTAACAACCTTAGTAGACTGTTAACGTTTTGATTTCGAGCTTAACTATTGTTGGCTCTAAAGAAATCTGAGACAAATTAAAATCAATCAATTTTTTAGCGATAATTGTTTTTTCTTATTAAGAAAAAGTAATTCTGACGGTTTATTTGACTTCATGATGTCTCTTTCTAATATTGCCTATAACTGTAGCTACTCCAACACTATCACAATCATATTTGTTTCATATTTTATTTTCAACTATAAAAACAATCATATAACTAAATATTCTCGTCGCCGCAACCCTTCACATGATTGACTGCACACCTAGAAATATGCTCTTAGAAATAAATATTTCATTTGATGTAAGAGTTTTTGCATGTCCAACGCGAAGTTTAATTTTCACAACCAAAATGAAAATTCACTTTAAAATCTAATTTGTCAGTTCCAAGATTGTAATTCACATGAAAATCTAAATTTCATTGCTGCAATTCCCATTTTGGCAATGTAAGTTAGATTTTGAAGTGAAGTTCTATTTCAGAACTAACAACTTTGATTTCAATGTGAATTTTCATTAATACTGTGGAAATTAGACTTTGCATTAGAGGATGCAGTGAAAACTCTTAAATCTTATGAAATATTTCCTTCTAAAATATATTTTCAGTTGTGCAGTCAATCGCGTATGTGGTTTACGGGGACGGGCATGTTTGATGCTATGATTGACTTTCCATTTGGAAAACAAAATGCGAAAAAAATAAACTCGTACAGGATTTAGTGTTGCTATGGTGACATACAATATTAGACCTGAAAATTAGATCAACTGCAAGTTGGATCGTTTGACATTTTTGTAATGTTAGTTCCATTAAAAATCATTATTAGTCGATCATTGATTTACAAACCATTTGAACGACTTCCTCTAATATTGTATGCCACTGTAGCTACACTAGCCTTCACACATATATATTTTTGTGATATTTTATCTTCGATTGAAGAGTCAATCATAAGCCCAAGTATAATCGTCACAACAACTTTCAACTAGATCACTTTCACACTTGAACAAATTTTGATGAGGAAATGTCTCATATGATGTTGCTAGAGTGTTTACTTTCACACCTTTGAACAACTTTTAATAGACTCCATTCCCAAAATGAAAATTAACTAAAATATTATGTTTTATACACACGCACGGGCAGATATATATATACCTACACACATACACACATACACACATACATATATCTATATATACATATATATACCTACACACATACACACATACATATATCTATATATACATACTCGTTGATCGGACATCTGCTTGTTAATTGTAAGTCCCCTCTAGCCGGGTGTATATATATATATCTAAACCGTAGAGCGAACGCTTATTTAGGTTGCCATCAAAATTCTCATTTCACATTGAAAGTATCATCTTAACTTTTACAAAGTGAAATAAACATTTTCAATCACAAGTAAAATGCTATGCATTGTAACATTGAAGATTAGGTGTTAGATATGCAAATATATAGAAATTAAATCGTATTTACGTACATCTTCCCATCACTTTTAGCAAATTGCCTGTTTATTTCTCCTTGCCTGGATCTCTCGGCAGAAATTTTTTTAGTTTGTTTATCAGGAGGTTGGAATACTAGATTCCAAAATTGATAAAAAGAAAAAAAAAAAAATTAAAAGCGTCAGCAATTAAAGGGAAAAAAAATTGTATGCACGCAGTGCACTTAATATATTACGTAGTGCTGCATGTTTTCTCAAGCAACATGTTCTATTTTAGAAATGATTTCAAGGTAAGGGTCAATTTTTCTAATTTGGGTTCATGTGAGAACTAAAGCTATGTGCAAAACCAGTCTCAGTCAATTTTTTTTAATTTGGGTTCTATTTTAAATGTGTCCGAACGCAACTCCATGACTTGTTTAGTGAATGCTAATAATTTTCTAGATCAAATTCGGGTTGTTTTTGGCTGCACGACTAAATTCAAGTTTAAGTTAGATTAATTTCGGTTGTGAGTGTCAACTCCACCAAAAAAAATTCAAGACTTTAGCCTGAACCAAACTAAAAATTAATGAGCCAACCCAAACATAAAATCAATGGCACTGCCGCTAGTCTTCACCTTTCAATTTCTTTCCTTCAACGCTTCATTTTGCCATCTTTTGTTGAAGTAAATGAAACCAAACCCCATCATTTTCTCAGATGATTATAAATTGCAACCAACATAAAAATAACTGCAGCAATGACTCGTCATCATCTCCCTCACAAGACAAATAACAGATTAACCGAAGCAATCAGTGCTGTGCAGCCAGAGCCCAACTTCAGTGGACAGTTGAAGGTATCTGACTCAGATTCTAAAGAGCATGACTAGAAAAGTTTGCTTCCATTGATCATTGGTTTGTATGTCAACTAACCTCAGACCGCATTTACAATAAAGATATAGAAACCATTAAACAGAGTTCTAAGATTTACTGAAAACATTTATAGAGGAAGAATGAACTAGAATAGGCATGTCAAGTTTTTAACGAAAATACAACAACAAACCTTTGTCCCAAATACAAACAAGAAAAAAAAAACATTTCTTTTTTGTTGATCAGCAAGTTTTAGCACAGGTTTTGCTTATGTGCATGTAATTTTGCAGATTACTCTAGCAAAAAAAATTAGCAGAATTCAGAGGGGTCCTCGTGTCCAAAACACTCTGAACGCTGAGATACTAACTCAAAGGCAGTTTCCTGCTAAGCCAAAAAGCCAAACAACTACTCTACAAAAGAGGCAAAGTTCACTCGAAATAATGTCCACCCATTCAACACAATGCATGTCTAATCTGGGTTTATAAATATTATTTATATGTAAGATCCAAATCATGCTTCGTACATTTTGCTCCCAGAACAGATAAGGTAGAACTGGAAAAAAATAGCACTCCACCCTGCCACATTTAACAGCAAAATAGACATAAATCAACAATGGCAACCGAAAGAGGCTAAGTTAAGAGTGAAATGAATTGGTTAGCCTTGCTCCATCTAAAGGAAATTCCTCAGCCAAAATCCAAATTCTAATTGCACTAGTGAATTAACTTTAACGATTTATCATGCAAAGCAAACCTCATTTTAGAGTTGGTGGTCCCACAAAAAATAAATGGCATGCAGAAACAATGAAAATCAATCCAGTTCTATGTTTTGCAGATTATTTAAGTGCAAATAAGAAAAATATAGTTGCGCACAAAGAAATTTCTTTTACCTTTATATTACAACCAGAGCTGGCTAGAAGTCAAACAGAAACCTCAAGTCCGCTTCAGTTAATTTAGACAAGGCTTCAGCTGAATTGCCCACGGTCCTGGAGAAGACGTTAGAATAAAGTTAAAAACTCTAAAAATAAAGTCCGGCACCTAATAATTCAACTAATAATGCAACAGAAGGAATCATCATTACCCTTCAAACACGAGTTCCTTCTTCACTTGCAACCTCAGTATTCTTTCCTCTATGGAGTTTGCAATGATGAATCTCACAGTCCTATTAATATGGAATTATCATCAAACAGTTGTAGATAAGATTTGCCCATGAAATTAGATGATGCCGGTCTGTAGGATACCTTACTGGTTTAAACTGCCCAATACGGTGGATACGATCCTGAGCTTGTCTCTCCACAGCAGGATTCCACCATGGGTCCATCAAGAAAACCTATTTATATTACACAATCAAAAGATTTGTCCAGCGAAAGTTTCATCAAAATAATAAAAATAAGTGAATCTAAATATGTAGCTCATAATTTTTATGTATTTACATATCTAACACCTATACTTTCATATTAAAATAAACAAAAACTTGGCGTTTTAAACCAATACATGAACTATTTCACTTTAAAAACGTAATAATAGTGCTATTTTTTGTCATATTAAAATTTGGGTGCTATGTAAATATGAAAGTTTAAGTGTGAGATGTAAATACCTGAGAATAGTGCTATGTATGAAAATGCCACAAATTTACAAAAATAAAAAGATCGTTTTGTGCATTCACAAGGGCAGCCCACTCACATTAGATGCAACGGTAAGATTGAGAGCCACTCCACCAGCCTTAAGACTCATAAGGAATATTTTGCAACTGGCATCGTCAGTGAACGTCTTTATTGCCTTTTCTCTTTCAGATAGACTCATGCTTCCAACCAGTTGAACACATGTTATGCCAGACTGCCATATCAAGACTATTAGTTCAATCAAAACAAGGATATTCATTAATGGAAAAAGAAAACCGATAAATTACCTGCTGAAGGGAGAAATTAATCAAATCCAAAAAGGAAGTGAACTGACTGAATACAATCCCTTTAGCAGAACCATCACCTTCAATCATATTTCTTATTTCTTCCTTCTGAATGAAGAAGGATACATATAAGCTAGTAAAAGGTCATTAAATACTTTGACAGGAAAAAGGACAACACCACAATTGGGTCAAACCCTGAAGAGTCTTAATAGAGATAAACTAGTCACTAATTTTTAATAATTTACTTGGGCCTAATACAGATATAAGATATCTTCCCCTAAATTAGATAGTCATAACTTGAATAAATCACATATCCGTCTTGCACACAAAATATTGAAAACTAGAAGAAATTTCATTAAATCAATGTTATCAAATTGCATTCCATAAATCATTCATTAATAGACTCGCAATCCTTAAATAAATAGATATGACTGACATAAGAAGAACCGAGTTCAATTTTAAATAGCTCTCAAATGCAAACATTAGTTTTATTCACAATCCACATCAACAGTTAAAAAGGAAAAATAGTATATTCTAAGCAAAAGGTCATAATAGTTAAAGAAATCATAGATTAGGAATAACCCAGATGTAAGTCATGGAAGCTACATATCATCATGCACAACAGCACCAATAATAGCATCCGTGAAAGACAAACAAAACAGCCCAAAAACTAATAGAAATGACCCATAGAAGCAGCCATCCCAACCTCCAGCCCATAGAAACAATGACAAGTAGTATCAAGGATAGCACGTAAATGCAAAGTTCAAATAATAGACCAACTGCATGTAGCAGTCAACCCAAATTGGTGCTATAGTCCCACACAATAAAAAAAAAATAAAAAAAAAGAAAAAAAGAAAAAGAAAGGTGATTTTATTCCAAGACAAAAGTAATAAACCTAACTCAAGTTCAGGATGTAATTTAAAAATGATAATGATTCCCCACATAATGAAGAGTAAAATTAGAAGCTTCAAAGAAAATAAAAAGCACAAGCTTCAAAAATATTAACTATTAAGCTCAAACCTTTATTTTTGAAGCATTTTTTGGAGGGCTTCAGTTGAAAGAGCAGGAAAAAAAAAACAATTTTGAAGTGAATTTATGAAACAAAGAAAAAAGTTTAATTTCAAACAATGTTGCCAAGTTTAGTATGAATCCATATGGTTTAAATGAAATATATTTTAACTTGTCGGAACTTATTGAGACTGGATCATGTAGAGTCAGGCTTTTGCATGAATGCAACGCCTACCGTGATCACAACCTTGCACTTATTTTCATTTGAAAGAATATACATAAATAATAAAAGCCATTAAAAGGTTCATGAATATTTCTAAACATTTTAGCAATATATTGTTTTGATATGGCCCACAATCAAGAAATCAGCGTCAGCATAAATCAGGAATTATGCTCTGTTGCACAGTGCAATACCAGCTGGCATAAAACCAATAGTTCAGAATAGCACCAAGGCATAAATTAAGCATTATGCCATGTTGCACGGTGCAATGCTAGCTGTCACGAAACCAAAAGTTCGGAATAGCACCAAGGTTAAAATTATGATAGTAGCAAAATAATAAATGCATAGGAACAAGAGGAAGAAGTGGAATGAAAAAGAAAGAGGAAGGCGAGAACAAAGAAAGCTCAGCAGTTGTGGCTGGAGTTTAGAAGCACAAACATTAACTGTATCAAATTTTAACACTTAAATCCAGTTCCAAAAGAATGGGCATGATATCCTTGGCCCCATTAGTGCAATTCCACAACCACAAGGAAAAGGAACTGTGGTTTATCTCAATCTCCTGATTCCAAGTTGGAACACAAATGGTATGATAAATACCATAATAGAAACCGCTGACCAAATTCTGAATGATAACAATAAGCTTAAAATAATTGTACTTACGTGCAAAAAGCCTCAACAAAAGGGTAGCATGAGAACATCCTATGTCAAAAAATTATATCTGGAGAGAGTCACGAGCACATTACAAAATGCATGCAACCCCAATAATGTCTTTCAAATTAAATTTGTGGCTTTTTGGTACAATGAATTATTTTCATTAGCTTGTAACAATGCTCTGACAGATAGGTAGCTAAGTGAAGAAGGAATGGGCTGAATGAAGAAATAGAGGATGGTGAAGAAATAGGGACAGTAGTCAGTGATCAGCTAAAAATAGGGCCGAACTGCATCAACAGCACAAATTAATAATTTTTCTTTTTTTAAATGTCAAAGACATTAATAGAAGCCTACCAATGCATCAATTTTGGTACTGGTCTTAAAATCTTTTTTATCAATTCTTTGCAATATTCGTGAACGTTTAAAACCCCTCATAGATGATGCAGAAGTATTTCCTCCAGAATTGCAGTTTGTTGTCAAATCAACGGTGAGGGGTTTGGCACATGTTGGGCACAGCACATCTCCAGAAGCCGCAGAGTAATCAATTAAACAACCCTTACAAAAGGAATGATCGCAGGATGTAACCTGGAAAAATAATAACCAAGAAAAGAAGAATAGTCAGGCAATCAACCTAAAAAGGGCAACAACATCAATATTGACATGTTAAAAAAGAAGAATACAAGAGGAGATGGGATTCTGGATTGGTGAGCATGCTTTTGTGGGCATACATGCGCCTATTTCTATAAAGGCTTTTCTTGTATAATGTTCTTTGAAGAAGTTAAATAAAAAATAGCTCACCACTAGACCCTCAGCTGGATCATGACATATACCACAGTAAGCTTTGTTAGTATCACCAGTACCTACAGCAGAAGCATCCACGGAACTAGAGTAGACCACAAGATAGGGATGGTCAACAGCCTGTCATCATCAACTAACAACTCATCAGTCTGCAAAAATCCAAATTAATTAAGTTGAGCAGGTTTGAAAAGTAGCATCATCAAGAAGCCGCGAAGCACTCAGAATCACTAGTAAGTATTGGCTCTGTTTCACTAAGAAAATGAGTACTACATGAAAGCTTATAGAGAACCTTAGGATTGTGTTATTGCTCTGAATTTAAAAATAAAAACTAACTCAGTCTGTTTTGAAAAAAAAGCAATGTCTTATCTCGATTCTGTCTGATTAAAAATGATGGTAAATTGATGATAAAAATAGAATTTGTAAATGCTTTAGTAAAATGATCAAAATATTAATTAACAAAGAAGCACAAAAGATAGGGATTCTTGAGCAAAATATCATAAAAAGCATTCAGATTCATTTCACAAGACACTTTAATAGATCATTTGTAAACTCAAAATACCAAGATCCACCGGGATACCTGAATGGTGTAAACGCTTCCTGTTAAATAACTGAATTTTCAATCGGCTAGAACACACTGAATTCATCATGTAAAATGATCAATATTAATTAACCAAGAAGCACAAGAGATAGGGATTCTTGAGCAGAATATAATAAAAAGCATTCAGATTCATTTCATACACTTCAGCACATCATTTGTAAACTCAAAATACCAAGATCCAAGGGAAAGTCTGATTGGTGTAAACTCTGAGTGTTAAATAATTGATTTTTCAATCAGCTAAAACACAATGAATTCATCATGCACTTCGTTTGGGTACAATACCGACAAGATTAGCATTCAAAAGGTAAGCAGCATGCCTGTCGCAGTCTCGTCAATAGATCAAATATATGGGCGTAATTGTTCATCAAAGTCCCAGCTTCAGCATATCTGGAGCAAAAGAGAAATTCCAAACTTAAAAAAACTACCAAAAACCAACTTAAAAAAACTAGCCAAGACCAATGCAGAAGAAAAGGCTGCAAAACTGTACAAAACTCTTGGCAATAAATATAAAATCTTAAACATAGACTGCAGCTGCTGCTAATAAAAGAGGAGATATTAAGGTCATTTAGAACCAGAGACACAAAATAATGAGATTGGCTAATTCTATTTGGTAATCGAATACAAATTATCAAAGTAAAAAAAAAAAAGAAAAAAAAAGAAAAAAAAAAAAAAACTATTCAGTCTTAAGTTCAGATCGAGTTCAACCACAAACAACAAATTTCACAAATAATGTTTTTGCTGTAACTTAAGAAAAGCCAGCACAACGTCCCTCCAATAAACATCTTTTTAGTAGAACTACCTTATTGAATCCTTGCTCTCTGATTTCTCAAGAACTTTTGGTTGTCTTTGTTCGACCCAATGTTTGTAATCTTAGTTAGCGGTGAATAGCCTCAATTCGATAATGAAATTATAAGAAATGGGCTAACAAAATTTAAACCTCTAGTTAGTGTAAACATAAAATAATTTTTACAATAAATTAAGAACATCCGTTTTCACGGATCAACAAGTCAACAATGCTGAAAAGAAAGGGAACTCATAATCTCTAAATATAATGCATACATAAACTACAAGCAAAAGAAAAATGCCAAACTTAAAAAAAACACCCAAAACCAACGCTGAAGAAAATAAGGCTGCAAAACTGTACCAATCTCCTATGGCAATAAATATAAAATCATAAATACGGACTGCAGCTGCTGCTAATAAAAGGGGAGAAATTAAGATCATTTAGAAGCAGAGACACAAAATAATAAGATTGGCTCATTCTATTTGGAATAGAATACAAATGATCAGATTTATAGAAAAAAAAAAAAAAAAAACTATTCAGTGTAAAGTTCAGGTCTAGTTCAACCACAAAACATAACAAATTTTGCAAATAATATTTTTGCAATAACTTTAGAAAAGCAAACACGTCTCCTCAATAAACTTCTTTTTAGTAAAACTATTTTATTGAATCCTTGTTCCCTAATTTCTCAAGAACTTTTGGTTGTTTTTGTTCCACCCTATTAGCACATAGAGGTGGACCCCACTAGGGAGATAACAACGTCGTTGTATCATTTGACCCTGCCGTATTTTCTTTCTTTGATCCACATACCTCCCAGCTAATTCTGCAGGGACCCAGCTTTAATAGTTTACACCCCATTTCATCATCGCCACATCCACCACAAGCATTTACTACCTCCCTCTCCAGGCAACCATCTACTGTGTTGTGGCATCAGTGGCTCAACCGTCTTCATCCAGACATTATCTCTGCCATCTTCAAATGACAATCACTTTCTATACCTTCTACTATACTTTTTGTAGTACTTGTCCTCTTACTAAAAGTTATAAGCAACCATTTGTATTGTTCATAGGACAAAAATACAACTTGAGTTGATTCATAGATGACGGGGCTCATCCCCAATTCCATCATATCATGGCTATATATATTTCATTACGTTTGTTGACAATTTCGCTTAATTTTGTTGGGCATTTCCTATGCATACCAAATCTCAAATTACTAAAGTAACTCAAAACTTCATTTGCTTACTACAAAATCAAGTCACCACCAAAATTAAAATTCTACACTCAGATGACAGCCGTCCGTGAATACAATAATCGTGCTCTCAACCACTTCCTCACCACTCAAGGCATTCTCCACCAATAGTCGTGCCCATACACTTCTTAACAAAACAGATTGGTCGAACGTAAGCTCCGACATCTCCTGGAGACTACTACACCAAGCCTTTGCACCATAAACCTTATGGATGAATAGTTTGCTCACCGCTGCCCATCTCATCAATCAAATGCCTACCAAAACCACCCATTGCATATCTCCCTATGAGCACCTCCACAGATAACCCCCACAATACACACATCTTCGCATTTTTGGATGCGCTTGCTACCCATGGCAAAAACTCCAAACATCACATAAACTAGAACCATGATCAGCTCAATGCATATTAGTTTGTTACTCCCTCCAGCACAAAGGCTACCATTGTTATAATCCCAGCACCAACAAGTTCATCATCGCAAGGTACATGATCTTTGATGAAACTACATTTCCATTTCTCAAGCCCACACCAAGGGTTCCACCAAACCAACCCAACACTCTTCAACTCTTTCCTATATACCTCCATTCTTCCTCCAACCCACCTCATATCTCCAAACTATATCCATCAACCTCAACCACACCGAACCCATAAATCTTCCCCCTCATCAACAATTCAACACACCTTCACCTCATACTGCACCAAAAAAGAAGTGCACCACGGTACCTCCTCCCATGCATCCCATGACAACGCGCTCCAAAACCGGTCACCGCAAACCCATTCACAAACTCAATCTACATCACCATGTTCACCAACCTCATGATCCAACTTGCTTCACTCAAGCCTCTAAACATTCTTACTGGAGAAAAGCAATGACCGAAGAGCTTACTGCCCTCCAAAAAAAGGGAACATGAAGCCTAGTCTCTCACCGACCGACCAACCCATACTTGGATCAAGGTGGTCCTACACCACCAAAATTAACTCAAACGGCAAAATCACACGATACAAGGCCCGCCTAGTAGCTCAAGGCCACGAACAAAAGTATGGAATCAACTATCATGAAACCTTCAACCTAGTGGCCAAACTCCCCACCATTCGCATACTCCTAACGGTGGCTCTCCACAACAATTGAAACATTCTCCAATTTGACATCTCAAATGCTTTCCTCCATGACACATTAGATGAGACGGTCTAAAGACTCTCAACTTCCCAATAATATATTCTTATTCAAGAAGTCTATATATGGCCTCAAACTGTCTCCTAAGCAGTGGTTCATCACATTCTTTGAGTTCTTCACTACAAATCGGTTTAAATTCGGTAAGGCTGATTCATGCCAACTACTATACAATCACAATTGACAATCGCATAATTGTGCTCACCGATGTCAATGATATCTCATCACCGAAAACACCACCAGCGCAATCTCCAAACTTACCGCGAATATGGCTGCGAGATTTAGTGTCAAAACCTTGGGACTATTGGCTATTTTTTGGGCATCGAAGTTCAAAAGTCTGCTCACTCCTACTTTATAAGCCAATAAAGGTATGTCCTCCAACTCCTCCAAACCGCGGGAACGCAAGATTGCACCCCTCTCAGCACTCCAACACCAGCTCATCTATCAGCATCCTCCAATCAGAGCACTCCATTCCATAACCCAACATTATTTAGGCAATTGGCAGGAAGCTTATTATACCTCACCATCACTAGACTGGACATGGCCTATGCGATGAGTATGCTATGCAACACATGCACTCTCCATCCACAACCCACTATTCATCTCACCCCAACTTCTTCGCTATTTAAAAGGAACCTATAAATTTGGTATGGCAATTCAACATGGCAATCTCCTGCTACACTCATGTCAGCGCAGATTAGGCTAGGAACCAAAGTGACAGAAAATCCATTACAGGCGTCTGCTCCTTTATTAGTGACGCCCTCATCTCCTGAACTAATGAAAAAACAACCAACAGTGACGAAATCGTCAATCGAAATAGAATATCGGGCGCTAACCACTGTTGCCACTAACATGATATGGCTCCGCAGACTCGTTCAGGAATTTGACATTAGTATCCAACAACCTACTCCACTCTATTGTGACAATATCTCGACTATCTCGCTTGCCAACAATCCGATTTTTCATGCTTGGACAAAACATATAGAGATTGATTATCATTTCATCTGTGATCACATCCAAACCAACCATGTTCAAATTGACCACATCCACACTCAAGATCAACCTGCAGACATCCTTACCAAATCACCTCCAAAGAGACAATGAACTTCGCACCAAGCTCAACGTTTTTCCTCGACTCGTCAGCTTGTAGGAGGGTATTAGCACATAGTGTTGGACCCCACCAGAGAGTATACTCACACCTTATAAGTAATTTTGTTTCTAGCATTTCTAGAATATTCTCTAATCATTTACTCTGTATTTACTACCAACAATGAGGTGAAATGAACAACAAAACTTTACCAATGTACAATAAGCTTTCTCTTCTTCCTCCTCTGAAAACCCTCTCTAGCTGTGCTAATCGGATTCTATTAGACCCAATGCTATCTTAGTTAGCGCTGAATAGCCTTAATTCAGTATTGAAATTTTAAAAAATGGGCTAAATTAAGCCTATAGTTAATCTAAACATGACATAATTTTTACAATAAATTAAGAATGTGCATTTTCACGAATCAATAAGTCAACAATGCTGGAAAGACAAAGAGCTCATGATCTCTAAATATAAAGCAAACACAAGCAACAAATAACTGTCACTAATAACACATCCATGCCTACTTTGTACGACACCAATGCCATCCAAAATGAAAATATTTGAGCTCAATATTTTATTAGAGAATTGGAAATAGTATTTTTATTTTATTTTATTTTATCTATGTTTTAAGCTACCAATAAAATGTAGCATACTTGGCTTAGAACTCACATTTGCCTCCAAAGAATAAAAATAAAGAGAAATAGTGCATGAGATAATAGAAAATAAGTACTAGGTATTATTTAACAATTTAAAAATATATATTTATTATTTCGAGCACCCACATAAATGACTCGCATAGTTAAGCACCAACATACATAATACATGTGCACTTACTTGTGGTATAATAATTGAGGATATAATTTTCTACCATGAGGCCATAAGTTCAAATCAAATATAATTACCTTTTGACTCAACTTTCATTAATAAAAAGTCATATATGAGGAATTTTCCCTAAAAGCTAGGTTGATTGACACTCTAGTGGGTCCCACTTGTTATATTTTTATTTATGACTCACATTTATTTTAATAACTTATGAGATTTATTTTTGATTTTCATAACTCATAACTTATGTCATAAATTATGACAACTTATGATATTT